CTCCACCACCACAGCGCCCCTCCCCGCGCTCCCACCACGCCGCCACACAGATCCAACTCCCCATCGCTGTCGCCCCTGTCGATCCCCATCGATCTCGATCTGGAAAAAAAATGTGAGGGATGCGGCGGATCCTGTCGATCTTGTGTGCATTCGGGGGCCGGGGAGCGAGGACGGCCACCGCGGAGCAAGGGATGGAGGCGCGGCGGCGGAGGGACCGTCGTTCTCGCAGAGCAGGGGGTGGGGCGCAGCGGCGGAGGAACCCTCGTTCTCCTGTGGGCAGCAATTTTAACGACGGAGTCTGGGCTGCGTACGAAACGTTTTTTCACTTACGGTCAGACTGCGGGTTGATTACTAAAATCTTTAAGGGCTTTTTTGCAAAATTGCCGACGACGGACGGGCAGAAGCACTCCGTGCTTTATTAGTAGGTAAGAGGTAAGATAAGATAAGATAAGATAGAATTATTTTTGGAAATGGGATTCATAATTACACGTACTTATTAGAAGAAAAAACAACAACAGTTCATGTAAATCCATCATCCCTAAAAAAATTGCTAACCCATCAACCCAAATTCAATATTATAAATCATTATGTATTATTTGATTTTTTTGCAAATGCAAAATTTATTTCAAATATTTGCACATTATTTCCTGAATTGCTGAGGGCATGCAAAGGAAAAAATTGATAGTAACTTAAATAAAAGGTATAAATAAAAAATTGTATTTAAAAAATAGAAAAGTAAATTATAAAGAGAATAAAAAGTCACTCTATTGCGCCATGCACCTGAGTAAGCATGATCGTACCCTGTGCCAGGCTGGGCAGGGCTTGACAAAGCCGAAATCTGGCCCGGCCCGAGAAATGTGAACATACACTTTAAAATTTAAACTAGTCATTTTTTGAGCATTTTAATATATTTTTGATTAAAATTATTATTTTACCCTCGTTCAGGCTTTGTTCGGGCTTTTTGGCCGGGCTTCGGGTGGAAAGGCTGAGCCCGAGCCCGATTACATGTTGGGCTTTTGGGCTCGGGCTGGGCTGCCCATGCACATGTCTACACCAGCGTAACTACTCGAGTAGGGTCGGGATTTGTAAGGGTTTTGAAACTTTCAATACCACTAAGCATTAGAACCAACAAATATTAATCCAACGGTTGTCGTATGTTTTCAATCGTAAGACTTTTTTATTGTATGAAGTTGTTACTTTTCTACATAGGCTCTCTCAATCTCCAAATGTCAACGAAGTTCTACACCATTTATTGTTCACACTTCCTCCCGCTTTTGTCTCTAGTGGCTCATGTTGTTGGATTCACTAGCTTCCATGATGCTAATCCTTAGCATTTCGACACCCCGTCCTATCTCTTCCTACCAAGATGTCCATGTCAATTGATAACCCACAAGTGAAGGGGATCACATCAATCTTAAATGGACAATATCACAACACAAATTTGTTGATCCAAGACAAAGGGAGCCAAACAATATTTATAACCTTTAGCAATTGAGTTCTTAATTCAACCACGCTTGAAAATGCATACCTACTCAAAAAAAATTGTTAATAGCAAATGTGATGGAGTAATCGGAGTTTGATTGCAATAAAGTAACAAATAGCGATATCAATTGTTGCCAGGTACAAACTATCTTAAAGAGAGCAATGATGATCAAAATTAAAGCGTTGGCATTAGAAGGAATAATGAGGCGTTGTATGGATAGAATCCATTATGTAACAACGTTAACATATGGTGATAACAATCTAACTCAGATTCATCAACTCAATGTAGTCATACATTTCATATGTAGTTGTATGTGCTTCAATATGAACTTGCACATTTGGTCTACCCTGACGTTTCTATGGGTTCTTGATAAAAATTAAGGGAAATTAAGGTACTTCTTTCATAAAGTACCGAAACAAAACATTAATACATCTAATGAAAACATGAAATCCTTATTGGAAATATGCCCTAAAGGCAATAATAAAATATTCTATATTATTTCAATGTTCATAATTAAGTTTATATTTCTATATCATAATTGCAATGGTTCTTGGATATGAGATTCAGAGGAAAATTCAGGTGCATGTGTGAAAACATAAACACCAAAACAGGTCCCTGGTCTTGCCTCTAAGAATATCTCATGCATTGTTTTAGTGGTAAATAGTTTGCTACCATGGGGGGTAGCTGCCTCCCATCAACGGACCACACAATTAACTATATGGATATCCGAGAAGCTAATGCTTATCCAAGTTGGGAATACCACTAGGCTAGAACGCCAGCAATAATGAAAACACATTGTTGTCAAAATAATGGTGTTCCGTATACCCAACTTATGATATACCGCAAGATTCCAGCAGCATTTGGTTGACGATATTACTATATATTACTCCCTCCGTCCCATAATGCAGGAGTTTTTTTTACATCACATTAGTGTCCAAAAACGTCATAAATTATGGGACGGAGAGAGTATATGTTAACGTTCATTTGCATCCTTGGACCATGAAAATATCGTAGGACCTTCATACCGGATGGTTACTCAAATGTTTTATAAAAGTAGCCTACGGATACACTGAAAAAGTATGTCAAGGAACCTTAACTTGAGAAAAAACAATACCCTTTAGTTTTGTTTGAGGGGAATTGCCCTTCAATTATTATTATTTTGAGGTAAAGCAAAGCTTTATAAATTAACGGTGTCCAGGTAAGTCACTTGTGACACAAACCACACGGGGCGGTACATTCGAGTTCCAACTCATACTATCATTAGGTAAACACATACGACCAATAACTGCTAACTCATGGGCTACCGAGTTGGCCTCACGTCGGCAATAGCTGACTCTTTGGTGTGAGAACCACATCTTAAGCTGGAATTTGATGTCCTCAATGACCGCAGCGTAGGAAGATCCAAAGCTTCAGCCATCAGCTGGCAGTGTGTTTCAAAGATCACCCGAAGTGCACCCAGCTCACTTGCGACTGTAATGGTTGCACTCATGGCAGTGACCTCCGTCCCAAATGCATCAGATACATTTTCATGACGGCCTGCATGGGCCGTAATCACATGCCCAACGGAGTCCCGTACCACCAAGCCCCAACCCCCAAACGAGTTCCCGGGCTGGAATGAGCCATCTATATTAATCTTGAGCATTTCTTCAGGTGGCGGTTGCCATTTTAGCTGAGCAGGTTTACCTTTCTTCAGGGAAAAGTACTCAAGATACTCCAGAGCATTGCAGTGGGTACGGCGCATGACTTCTTTTGCATCGACAACCAGCTCTCCCTCCCTTATCTTATTTCTATTACTCCACCAGTGCCACCAGAAGATAACGATCAGCACTCTTTGATTTTCATCTAGCTCCCACAGCTTGTCCAGCATTGCGTGCACATCAGGGATTCCCTCCAACGCCTCTCGCTCCTTCTCCAGGCCCAGCCCACTCCAGACTTCTTTGACCGCTTTGCACTTGATAAACAGATGGCCTCCATCTTCTGCTACTCGGCCACAGAAAAAACATTGGTTGGTCTCTAGTTTCAGTCCCCGTTTCTCCAAGTTAGTACACAGCGCTAAGGCTTTGTATTTCATTCTCCATATGAACATCTGAAGTTTCTTTGGGCATGGGAGTTTCCAAATGCGCTTCCAAGCATCATCTCCATGTCTATCAAACTGGCCAGCCACCTCTGAACTACAGCCGGACTTCCATTCCGTGCGTGCTTAGCCAATTGGGATTGCAGCTTATATGCACTTCTCACCGAATGTATACCTTTTCCATCGTAGTGCCATGCTATGAAATCTTCTACTCCTTCTCTCAGCGGTATCTGCAGAATGTGACGGGCATCCTCCGGCCAAAAGGTGTCTCGGACCATTGCTTCATCCCATCCACCCATAATTGGGCACATCAACTCATTTACATGGGTTATAAGGTGTGATCCTTTCAGAGTAATCACCTGTCGCGACCAAGCCTGTGGTATCCACGGGTCAGTCCAGACTTTGACGTTTGTACCATCCCCAATCCTTCATATGTATCCTTGTTTAATCAGCTCTAGACCTTGCAGAATGCCCTTCAATTAATTGCTCCCAACACATAGCAGCTTCCCTTGTTTTTTTGGAGCTCACTCCCCGTTGGCTTTTTTTTTGTTTTGTTTTTTGAGGGGCCGTTGGCTTCTTTGGCATGGAGTTCGACTATTGGGCCTCAAGTTGGGCTCATTCCCGGGCTTTCAAGATGATGCGTGCTGCTCTGTTGGAACAAAGCCAGACCACGAGTTGCTAAAAAAATATAAGCCAGACCACGAGCTTCGCAGTCCGCACCATTGCCTCAAGAAAAAAAAAAGAGCTCCGCACTAAAGCCACCGAGGAAATTGACTATTTATTATTAAGTTCGTTGGACTTTGATTATAACTACAAAGTTGATTTCTTCTTGACAAAAAATGTCTAGGGACTAGATTGTGAGAGATGATTAGTGCTATTGAAAAAGAAGAAGATCCCGCATACACACATCGTATACATGTACAAGTATAAGGATGGTGATCGGCCCATAACTGTCTACATCGGTCCACGCCTCCATCTACCTAGCCGTCGCAACTCATCAGGCAGCGCCGCCGCCTCCTCGACCCTAGGCAACGAATTCATCATCTGGTGCCCCGGCCGCCAGCCGCCGGCAAATCAGGTCCCAGCAGTTCCTAACGTTCAGCGAACATCCGACTAGCCGCTCATAATTCTTCGACGCTGTTTCTAATCTCTCCATTGTCAATAGTAAAAAAACACATAATGAAAATCGTTGCACCTAAGAAAGGATCGTAGCAAATCCTACAGAAAAATAGGATCGCGACATCTAGCACCTAAGAAAGGATTGTAACACATTTTTTTCCTTTCCTGCTCCATAATTTTTCTCTCTCATGGAGTGATTGATCATTATCTGTTCCATGTGTACTGTGTAGCAATCGATCTGTATACGACCTGTGTACAAGTGGGATCTTTTTCATTTTCCCCTAGCACTAATCATCTCTCACGCTCCAGTCCCTGGTTAACGTTATGTCAAGAAAAAATGAACTTTGTAGTTATAATCAAATTCCAACGAACTTAATAATAAATAATCAATTTCCTCGCCACCGACAGCCGGCGGCGGCGAACGTCCCCACTTCCCACCTCGCCGCCGGCGACGTCCCCTGCACCGACGCCATGCTCCGCCTCCGGAGCTGCATCCTCACCCATCTCCTCTCTTCGCCCGCCACCCATCCCGTCCCCTGTCTCCACCGCCTCCTCTCCGCCGCCGCGCCCGCCGTCTCCCCAGGCCCCCGATTCGCCGTCGAGGACTACCTCGTCGACACCTGCGGCCTCACCCGAGCGCAGGCCCTCAAGGCCTCCACCAAGCTCTCCCACCTCAAGTCGCCCGCCAACCCCGACGCCGTCCTCGCCTTCCTCGCCGGCCTCGGCCTATCCAGCGCCGACATCGCTGCACTCGTGGCCCGTGACCCGCAGTTCCTCTGCGCCGGCGTCGAGAGAACCCTGTCGCCCGTCCTCGCTGGGCTCACCGGCCTCGGCCTATCGCGCTCTGAGATCACGCGCGTCGCCTCGCTCGCACCACGCAGCTTCCGCTCTAGATCTGTCGTTTCCGGGCTGGAGTACTACCTCCCCCTCTTTGGCTCCTCCGAGAGCCTTCTCCGGGGGATCAAGAAATTCAAGTACTTTCTCAGGTCCGGTCTAGAGAGGGTGGTCAAGCCCAATATTGAGTTACTGCGTGAGTGCGGGCTAGGCACTTCCGATATTGCGAAGCTCTGCCTCGCTGTGCCATGGCTGCTCAGCGCCAAGCCGGAGCGCGTCCAGGTGATGGTGGCGTGCGCGGAACGTCTCGGTGTGCCCCGTGGATCGGGGATGTTCAGGCATGCGTTGAAGGCTGTTGAATCCCTCAGTGAGGAGAAGCTCGCCGCCAAAGTGGAGTACTTAAGGAACACGTTCAGGTGGTCGGATGCTGAGGTGGGCATTGCTCTTTCTAAGGCCCCACTGATGCTGACCAAATCCAATCCGACACTGCAGAGCAAGTCGGAGTTTCTTATATCTGAGATGGGGATGGAACCGGCGTACCTTGCTCATCGGCCGGTAATGCTCTGCTTTAGCCTGGAGGGCCGAGTCAAGCCACGGTGCTATGTTATAAAGTTTCTTAAGGCAAATGGATTGCTAGATCGCCATTGGACCTACTTGACAATTGTCACGGTGGCTGAGAAGGAATTTTTGGAGAAGTTCATATGCCCTCACAAGGAAGCTGCACCGAACCTTGCTGAAGATTATAATGCCGCATGCAGAGGGGAAGTGCCAGCTGATTTCAGATTTACATGAACAAACAACCGGCTATGAGAATTGGTAACTGCGTAAGGTGCAACAAAATTCTCACTCTGCGTAGTAAGCTGGTAAATTTTGGTTCCGTGTTCATTGCCTAATTAGATGTTGGTTGCATTGATTCCTGAACCCTGACGAATTGATGACTCGTTCGGTAGAGAAGAAAGCATTGCCTACAATTTCCTAAGATAACATGTCCAGGATACATTTGTGTTTCCCACTTCTATTTAAGATAATGGAAATTGGATCTGTGGGTGCGCCAATTTGCTGCTGAAACTTGCACCCTGAGAACCAAAAAACAAAGGAATTATCCTGCGTTGCTGTGATATGCTTTCATGCTGAATTTTATCTAGCGTGTTCCTTTTTTAGCTGATTAGTTGGTCGCCTTTTTTGCTCCATCATATGTCACTCAGTACTAATATTGCAGCTCAATGTTTAATATTAAGATTATGCTTAGAAAATATCTCGTCTGTTCCGAATGATAGGACGTTTTGGATATTTTGATATGGACTAATACGGACTGAAATGGGTGAACAAATAAACTAAAACATGTCTACATATGGACTGAAATAAGTAGAACATCTTATATTTTGGAATGGAGGGACCAAGGGAGTATATTTGTGTATGTTCATTTTTATCCCTTTTGATTTCTTCCCCTCTATTCTCCAAAGATTGATTCCTAAATAATGAGTTGACAATACTTTTGCTGGGAAACGTTTCAATATTGTAAAATTAACCTATATGCCTCTAAAGCATGATTAACAAATGAACTGGTCGTATCATTTACAACTGCCCTTAATCTTCAGAAGTAAACCAATGTAGATGGCATGATTTAGTCTTACCACGTTTCTGTACTAGCCAGTGCTTGCATATGTAAAACTGTGTCCAATCACAAAACTACTTGCATAATTTGGAAGCAAAACTGTTGATTAAAAAATTGATTTGGTAAAGTTACACAACTTAGATCAAATTCTTGCTTTCAGCTGCGCTACAAGTCTTTGTACAGTACTGGCACATTAGGCCTGGTGTCCATCCTATATGTAGTACATTGCTGTGTCTACTGATGCAGTTCTGGGTTTTGATGGTGTTCAATGATGCAAGAGGGTAACTATCCACTATACTGTTCCAAACCATCGTATATATGAATATATCATTCCTTTGAGATTGATGAACACATGAAGATATGTATTGGAGCGAAGAGAATGTGAGATCAGGTCAGTCAGCCAATGCATTGAGAATATCAGTGGGTTATTCTCTGTACTTTTCACGTTCAGTGTTCTGCTTCAGTTGGTTTCAACAATATTGGGCTACTTTGTTGGCGGGCCTATCCTGCAGTATAAGTTTGTCAAGCACCGGCCCACCAATGAGAGGCGTTCCCTCTGATTTTCAAGTACCACAATCGGCTTTCAGCTATATTTGACCTTTGTTGAGGAGCCTGTCATGCAGTGTAGGTTTCTTAGGCATTGACTGAGCATTTTTCTGCAAGGAATCTGTGGAACTTTCTAGCTGTATGTTTGTTTCTATCTGACGTGTTTGAGAACAAAAAAATGGAAGCAAAAAATGGATCTGACTTGATTAGCTAAGCTGCTTTTCAAACAAGTCTACATGTACAGATCAAGATAAATTTTTAGCTTCCATTTTCTTTTGTTCAAATAGAACTCTTGGTCCTGTGATGGAGATGCACTCAGAAATATTATGAGATCATTATCTACCATGCAGGAAAACTTAAAGAAGTGGAGCTATGAGTCCTTTGGCTCTGTTCGTGGTCGGTTAAAAGATTTGAGAAAGCAATTGGAGGAAGTGAGGGACAGGAACTGGAGAAGAGGACTAACAAAACAAGAGAACAGTTTTTTTAACCAAATTTCGGAGTTAATGGCTAGAGTAGAAATTATGATACGCCAGAGATCAAGAGTACAATGGCTAGTGGAAGAAGATCGTAACACAGCCTTTTTTTCACTCAAAATGCAGAGAAAGAGCAAGACAAAACAGAATAATTTCTCCACAACGAGAGGATGGAAGGATATGTTATCAACAGGGAGAAATTGAAGACATAGCTATTAACTTTTTCTGCAAATTGTTTTCTGCTCAGGAGAACCTGCAACCAGATAAAGTGATAAAATACGTGCAACCAAAAGTAACAAAGGATATGAATAAGCACTTGTGTAAACCGTTTACTTCAGAAGAAGTTGAGAAGGCACTATTTAGGATGAAACCAAATAAATCTCCAGGCCAGATGGTTTTACGGCAGGAGTTTTTCAAAACCATTGGGAACTGATAAAGATTGATGTTTGCAATGCAGTTTTGAAGTTCTTGCAAAATGGTGAAAAGCCGGAAGGCCTAAACAAAACAATTCTGGTGCCTGTTCCAAAGGTGAATCATCCCCAGAATTTTCTCAAAACCGACCAATAGCTTTATGTAATGTTTTATATAAAATTTGTTCAAAAGTCTTGGCAGATAGGCATTAATCTTGGATGAAATTGTTTCAGAGGAACAAAGTGCTTTTGTGCCTTCGCGTTTAATTACTGATAATGTTATTACTTATGAATGCATTCATTACATTAGAAATAAGAAAGGAAAAACTGGAGCAAGTGCCATTAAATTAGATATGACTAAAGCATATGAAACTGTTGAATGGACTTACCTTAAGAGGATTATATAAAAATTGGGCTTTCATGATTACTGGATTAACTTGATAAGTAAATATGTTGAAACAGTAAGCTTCTTGGTTAAGGTGAATGGTCATTTATTGAAACCCTTTAGACCAACAAGAGGATTAATGCAAGAGGATCCCATTTCTCCTTGCCTATTCCTGATTTGTGCAGAAGGTCCAACAAACTTACTAAAATTCAAAGGGCCACAATATCTTAGTGAAGGAATTAAAATGGGTATCCATACTCCATGGATATCTCCCTTATTATTTGCTGATGACTATTGTCTTCACTCAGGCTTCAAAGAGCAGAAAGACTTCAGGAAGTATTGGAAGACTACAACAAGGGATTGGGTCAACTGGTTAACAAAGAAAAATCAGCAATCTTCTTCGTGAAGAGACGAAAGAAGAGATGAAGAGAATTATGAAAATAGAAACATAAGCTCTAGAGGAGAAATACTTGGGACTACCTACAGCCCTAGGAAGAAGAACAACATGGGCCTTTGGAAAGCTAATTACAAGATTGAGTAACTTAGCAGGTGGATGGTCAGAGAAAATGTTAAATTCTGCAGGTCGTGAAGTTCTTACTAAAGCGGACATGCGAGAAATACCCACATATGAGTTGTTTTAGCCTCTCAAAAACTACTTGCAACAAGAGGACCCCGTCAATGGCAAATTTTTGGTGGGGAGGTGATGGGGATAAGCAGAGAATGCATTGGAGAAAATGGGAGTTAGCACAACCAAAGAAAGCTGGAGCTATGGGATTTAGGGAGATGCACCTATTCAATCTAGCCATGTTGGGTAAGCAAGGATGGAGGCTTTTATAACAAACCCAAACTCATTGTGTGCTAGAGTGTTGGCTGGGAAATACTTCCATAACACGGATTTTATGAAAGCAAAGAAGAAGAAGAATAGCTCACATGTTTGGCAAGCTATCTTAAAAGGAAGAGCAACACTTCACTTAGGCCTGATGAAGAGAATTGGAGATGGAAAGTCTACCAATATATGGAAAATGAATGATTCCAACAATTACAGGAGGGAAACCAGTGTATAGGAAAGAAGGAACAACTGGCTTAAATATATCAGATTTTCTGAATGCAGAAAGGAACGAGTGGGACTTCAACAACGTGAATAACAGTTTGCTGCCTATAGAGCAAAAGAGGTACTAAAGTGATCTAAATGCTCTTATATTTCTTCATGGAGGGAGTATTTAAGATTCCACTGGGAAAGTTAGACCATGATACCTGGGTTCAAAATGCTGAAAAACATGGTCTGTATTCAGTTAAATCAGCATACAAACTCCTTGCCATAAATTCAAAGGCTGATGCTCATTATCAAAGGAACACTGCAGTTTGTTCCAATGCCGAAGATAGCAACATATGGAGCAAGCTCTGGAAGCTCTCAGTCCCTCCAAAGGTACGCAATTTCTGGTGGAGAGTTATTAAAGGTTTAATTCCTGTGCGAGCTATTCTACATAAGACATAGAGTTGCAAAGAATTTGTGTTGAATGTGGATCGACTAATGATACTATCTATCATGCTCTGTTAAAGATTCTCAAATTACATCCTTTAACCTGGGCTATAGATATCTTGGTTACATCCATTTGTGACGATGAAAAGGCAGCTACATCTTATGTGGTATGTGGTCGGTGTCGAATGCTCGTAATGCTCGCTTACATGGTGAATCATCAACCAAATTAACTCAAGCATGTAGATGGGCATATGAGACTGCTGCAGATCTTATTTAAACTGCTAGAGCAGTCAGATCATGTAACAAAGTAAAAAAAAAATCACAAGTTCATTGGCAACGACCGCATCAAGGATGTTATAAAGTTAATGTTGATGTATCTTGTAATGCAGATGATATGAGTAGAGCATCTGGAGTTATTATAAGAGACGAACAGGGGCATATAGTTGCAACAAGTAGCATATGGCATGAATTTGTTCCTGATTCACTGACAGCCGAGGCACTTGCTTGCAGACACACAACTGATGTAAACCTGGAGCATAAAACAAGCCATATTGGAAACAAATTCGATGGAGCTCACTTCGCTTTGGAGGATGAAGCACCAACGGTCTAGAATACTTACCAAGTTAATTAAACAAATCCAGGAGCTAACGGAAAGATATAACTACCTCGATGTTCGTCATGTTAAAAGGGAAGCAAATGAAGCTGCCCACAAATTAGCTAAGCTGGCTTCTTGTACTAATCCGGAGTGTGCCTGGGATAGCCAGGCGACAGAATGTATCCGACGCTGTAATGAGAAGGACTGTAATCCTGTACTGGATTAATGAAGCTCTTGGCTGATTCTCAAAAAAAAAGTCATACATTAGTTTTTACTTTTTAGTGCTAT